GGCTGAGTTATGTATGATTCGTTTGATTTCAAGATATAGCGATGGATGTCGTGCATCTAATCTTCAATCCACTTTGAAGAGCTATGGCGCTGGTTCAGGATATCACCATTCACGTGAGCATATACGTTGACTCAACCATAATTTGCAAACTTCCTTCCTCCACACATTGTTAGATGATATATCGGAACACTCCACATGTACTGACTGTTGCCGTCCTAAAGTATTGCTTCTCTTTGGTCTCTTTCCAAGTACACCATGATGAGGTTAATTAACATCGTGTGCTTCACTGGTTCCATGCTTCAAGTCATGAACTTCATTCCCGAGTATTCAACAGTGTGAAGTTTCATTGTAGTACTCTTGTGCACAAATTACCCCTCATCAAACTTGCAATTTACCGAGGTTGACATCCACTCTCCACCTAAAAACATTAACGCTCGTGTGTTCATAAATCTCTTCTCTTGCTTCGATAAAATTGTTCATTGATTGTCGACACTGTAGAGAATCGAAGACACCATGATCTACCTTGATCGAGCCTCCTCTTATCAGTTGCAACTGGAGATAGGTACTGACAGAAGTGCATACAATTATGTAAGGTTTATCATCTGGAGCATTCGGAGTAATGCTTCCTGGCTTTATATATAGATTTGTGAATGAGAATAATTGTTGCTCATGTGTATTCTGATATATTGTCCACAAGATTCAATTACTGGATTCGATTCAACGGTCCATCAAACCTAGTTGTTGGGCATTTAACTGGAAAGTGTTGAATAACACATCACATCAAGTAACACAGTATCCTACTCACATTGATCTAGTAGATCTCCCAAAATTCAACTGCGTTGACCACAATTCCAGTAGCCAATATATGTCTTCAACTTTGAAAACCCTTATTTGTCTACTTAGCTTGCATGTGATAACATGGAATGCACCAGTGGGAATGGGATAATTTCAAATTCCACCTCGGTGCACCAATGGATAACTTTAAAGTCTGCTGTTAAGACAAACGAAACCTGTGTTGAAAAAAAAAGTCATGATATGTAAATACAGTACTGTGTATGTAGTACGGCACATTCAAATTCGAAATTGTAGATGGTACATGATATTTCAAAGTTGTACGTAGTGCAGTTGAAGCCCTAAGAAGTCTGAACTTTTTGATTATTCAAAGGTTGAATTGCTTTTCCTCAACAAGCGATAGTACAACCTTATATGCAGCTGCGAAGGTTCATATATGGAGGATTCGGGTTCGCATGATGATGTTTTGTATTCACCCTTCAAAGCCACGAGGGGCTGATTTCCGGGTGACTTTAATGAGATCTTGTTTCTATTGCACGAGTCTCCTTTGTTGTTTTACTGGGGAATTTTTGGCGTTTTCCAATGCATCTCTTAGATCGAAGTTCGTTGGACCTCCGGATACTTGTCTATGCGTTGTCTAACCCCTCGGCCTAGCGTACACTTACGACATGTGTACATTCAAAACAAAGTGTGTAAAGAGTAGTTCCGTTCCTATACGATGGACGTACCCGACACATGCACTTCTTTTCATTAGAACACCATAATTAGATCAAACTCCGTTAAATTTAAAAATGTATTAAGTGTAATGAGACCGGTGCGAGGTTTGTCACACTCTTTGGACAAAATGGACCTCAAATATAGCCAAACATCTATATCTCTCACACCAAAACATCCTAAACAAAAGGAGGTCAGACACAATCAATAAAATGGTTTATTAGAGATGAACATAATTGGCTGATGAAGAGCAAAAGGGGAGAGGAGGCGAGCTTGTTCGACCACATCATTCGCCATCGTGTTCGAAATTCAGTGGAAAACAACAGACGGCCGAAAAGGCTGGGTCTGAAGAGCTAGGGATCATTAAGTGATCGGATGCGTTTGCATTCTAATTATTTCGCAACCAAACTTCTACTTTCCGTAACTTTGACCGTGAACGATCCTCGTGATGGGTGACACACCGGGTGCCCTCTCGAACGATGAATGAAGACGTCGAAACTGTCTGAGTCTTAAATTGGTTCTTGGCAGACATGATGATGCTTTTTGGGAGTAAAGTTAGTTATATCACAACTCTGCTCGAATTCACAATCCTAGACCGTTTTAGCTTGTGCCGAACAATCGTCGAATAAATATCCGTAGATCGTCAGTGGGGAAGCCGAAAAGTCGAAACATTTGGGTCTGAACGAGAACAATTAGATACGAAGAAAAGTGCTAGGACTATCTGAGAGCTAAGTTTAGTAGTCAACTTGCTTCTATTCTCTCAGTTGACCTGAGAGTCAAATACAATTGGGCTGGACCTCGCTGGGCTGTCATCATCATTCAAAGTGGGCAATCTTAATCCAGAGACTAGAAGTGAAGTCAAGTATTGGAAGAGTTGGTTCTTTTGTCGTCAGTTGGGATTCCGCATATGAAGTTCGTAGTCCTTTCCATTCTTTCGAGTCATGACAACCGGAGTATAACTTATAGTTCACAACATATTAAAGTAGAGCGGGAGTCAAGAGCTTTAAATAGTTGTCTTATTGGAGAAGATTTGCAAGTCTTATGCTTTTCCATGTCCTCCATCTGTAACCAGCATGCCTCGTATCTCACCTGGAATCAATGCCAAATTAAGTAATGAGATAGGGGAGATAGAGGTCTTCGGAACGAGTCAGTCCAGGTCTGCAATAAAAGAAACCGAAGGATGAAAAGCTAAAGCAAAAGATATACGCAAACAAATAATGGGCATTTTCATCCCGAGAGCAGCTGGACGATACCTACTCGCTAACATGGTCGCATAACAAGAGGTAGGAGACATGGCCCTCCGAGGTAAAGGGCAAAGATACTCTTGTTGTGACAGAAGAATGTTGGCAGTGGAAAGCAGCGAGAAACAAGACTCGGCAGCTGCAGCACGAATTATGAATTCTTCGTTGAAGAGATTCTCGTGGTAGAGGGGAGTAACAGTCAGGGTAGGCAACAAACTGGATGAAATATTCTCCTGGGAATGGATTCTTCCTGCATCAAGGAGCGAACAGCCAGCCGAGGGAAAAGGGGGAAAGGAATTTGCGATGGTGTAAAGTGAACTCCGAAAACAACAATCATAAGTTTTCAATGCATGAGCGTACGATTGAGATGACCGAATATATCGTTAAGATGGACAAGGTACAAAACTTGCTGCCTATTATTTCGCTTAGTGAACTTATGATGCAAGCCTGACACAGAGAAGAGACTTCTTTCTGTTTCATCGTGACAATCTGGAAACATGTTCGTTAAAACACACTGCGTTCACTGTTTGAAGATCATAACAGTGAGCCACCAAAATCATGAGAAGTTCAAATTTGCAGCCATCTTACAAAGATAATAAAGTAATTTAGGGAAACTTTTCACACAGTGCGTGTTCGTGATAAGCCAAGCTTGACCAATTTTCAAGAAAGTGCATTCGGCTTGACACCATTTCATGTACTTGAACCAACTGTTAATCCATGGAACTTTTGTCTCTTCGGTGCTTTTGATCGATATCACTTGACTAGACGACATGGGGTGGACAAGGTTTCAGACCCTTTCCAAGGGTAGGAACTTTAAGGAACACATGACACCATTCACGGGCCTGGGGAGATTCCCATCATGACACTAGTGTTGACCACAATCTTATCCGTCTCTCCAGTCCTACAATCTGCAGTAGCTCAGATGAAGACGATCAATACAGTGCACATTCATACCATACTTCGGAAATATCATACGGTGCTACGTTCATACTGATTGTTGTAGAGCATGAGGGCAATGGTAGTAAAGATGTCGACTTCAAGGATGCCACACATCAAGTGAGCTCAAATTTATAATTTAATATCGAAGATTCATTCAACCCTTTGTCCCATTGTCTGATTTTTGTGCGTTCCTAGCCGGAAGTAGCTACCTTTGCAACATTAATAGTCAGAAGTAATATTTTATGCAGTCAGACAAAGTTCTCAACAACTTGCTTTTCCAAATACTGTTGTTGTTCTTTGTTTGAAAAGAGGTTAAAGTTTAACATTGATAGTTTTGGATATTATCTAAATGCCTGAAAAATACTGTGAAAAATGAATTACCCTACGTCTGATGAGTAGAAGCGGTACGTCAAAAGAAATCCAGGGTTAATCTTGAAATCACAAATTCTCTGGTCTTGTCATGTCATGATAAGACTCAATGCAACACCATATTGTCTAGTTCACGTGAGATTTTATCCATGGGATGGTCCAAAAGTGCTCAAATCGGATAAATCATTTGGTGAATAAATTGATGAGGACTAGTGATAGACTTGTGCAGTATTTGCTATCACTGATAAAAAATAATACACAAGAAGAACATATTTCCCTTCTTAATTACCGAAATATTACTATTTCCATTTGTTCAGCTGTCACGATACAAACTAATTTTGCTTCGTATAAACAAATCCAACAAACAGCAAATCAGCTATGCATCTTAGAAATAACTGACTCGATAAAATCAAGCAGAATTAGCTGTCTGAAATGAACAAGTGTTTTGTTGATAGCTTACCTTATCTTTGATTAGTACCAATAGTGCTATAGATTTCCATGCTATATTTACTTACTTCTTAAGTAAAAGGTAAGTTTTCTTTCTTCTATCAATCTTGCATGTCATCCTTACCAGCTCAGGAGAAAACTAAAAATAAAGGGGAAATGAAAAAAGAGACATCCATTTCGTACACGCAAACATCTTAATTAAAATCCAGTATAAAGATATATCATGTCGAAATTCAATGATAAAAGTCACTATAACTACTACTTACATTGATTGAAGAAAGCAATGAGCTGATATGTCACTCAGATTCTTTTGGATGCGCTCTTGAATCGATATGACCTGGAGGCCTTAAGTCTGTAGTCTAGAAAATGAACAGATCAATCTATTCTCTGTTTGAAAAAATAAAATTTAAAACCAGGAAGCAATCATAAAATATACATCACGGTGAATTCAAAATGATTGCTTACCCATAACAGAAGACCAGATTTTCATTATCCCCGTCACCATAACGTATGCACTAAGTTATGATATTTCTCCTCTAGTATTAACATATTGTGATGCTGGATGATACAGGGACATCGTTACAAGTTTCTCTTGTTTTTCGTTTCGTTTATGTATAACTTGGTTGGATCCAAATGATTTGGAATAATAACTCTGTGTTTCAATTAAATGAAATCGATTTGGAACGAGAAGTCATGTTCCAAAAAATGAAACTAGGGAGCCTCAGTGTTCTAACGAAACCAAAGGTGCCAGACTGGATCTCATACTGCTTCTAATTGGATATTGTTCAAGACGTGTAATCACTGTTCCTTTACATAGGCATTAATTAGAGGAAGCACGGACTTGCACGACGTATCATTCTGATAAGAATACAAAACTGCCAGGAAGATCATGTAATGATTTCTTCCTATCAAACTTCTGGTCTTAGTGAGAAGTTCACGACATATTCCAACCCCTCCTTTCCCCCATAATCTTACGGCTTCAAACAAATTATCCTCCTGCTTCCATCATGGCCAGCATGAAACTGGATGCGTAGCAAGCCATGCCTTCGTTCCCGACTAATTAAAGATTGCAAATCCATCCACTGGAACTAATCTTTAATGTCAACTCAATGATTACATACTTCTTCGCAATGAATCCTAAATGATCATGATAGAGGAGTTAATTACTTTCTTCTCTGAAAAGTTCGTCAATCATATCCCAAAAATTGCATTACTGTATCAATCTCAAATGAGGTCTCAAAGATCATATCAGTTAACTGCATGATAGCCATCGCAATATCCCTGCATTAACTGCTTGTTTATGGTAATCTTAATTAAGCATATGTTACGATTCAAAAAGTTGAGTCCAAGTAGAAGGCATTCGTACTTAGCCTTTAAGATGGTAGGCTACACCAATTCCCAGGCCAGAGAATAAGAGAGAGTGTGCATGAAAGTGTACTTAATATTGCTCCAAGTTGGTGGGCTTCACTCAAACCCAAACTAATGCTTGAGATTAATACTCTGATTGCGAGTGTCAGTTTCTGCCGCTGCTGCAGCAGCTTCTTCTTCGTTGCAGATGTGCGCCAGATCTCGGGGTCAAGTCAGTTGAAGTCAAAGTTCCATAGACTCTGCCGATTCAGTTCCACTGACCATTTTGTAGCCTCATAACTGTCAGTCACTAATTGCTCTTTTCGATCTGGTTCAAATCCATGACCATCTTCAGATGGTTGTTTAATTGCCATAAAGCGCAGTGCTATCTCCAAACTTCGGTTCTTCATCTTTTGAGACCAATCTCTAAATGCTAACCTGTACCAGTTTTTATATCGGTAATTGTAAGTTTGTAACCTTGGTCACGGTCATCTTGAAAAGTTGAAGTACACGGCTTACCGTATCTGTAGCACAGAAAGGAGGGGGTTCGATGATCGAAGATAGACCTTAGATTGGGGTTTCACGTCTTGCTATCCCCATGGTGAACAGGAAGAATAAGTAATTAGACTAGCTGTTTATTAACTCCAAACTCAGTCCGATACTTTCTGGAATCAATACGGTGTCAGTCCTATCTGACTTAACGGAGGGTAGTCTACGAGGTGTTTACAGGAATGAATCCTAGGAAGTAGATTCTAGAATCGAGAACGTTTTGCAGATAGTTATACTGGGAGTGAGTTGAAGGAAGTTGGTACTGAAATGTAAGAGGAAGGGGATGAAGCTTTAGTGCCCAGCTTCCCTCCCTCCTTCCTTCGTTCTTCCCCACCGCCATCCACTGGACCCAAACCCAAATCTTGTAGCAAAGTTCAAAATAACTTCAACTCACTTCAGAAGTCTAGAAGATTGACATGTGGAGAATCTGCTGCTCGACAAAGTACTCTCTCCTCAGCATCTTCTGACGACACGGTGTCTCCCATCCCTATGTGAAGCAAGCATATGATGTATCTTACATGATTCACTTCCAGAACACTGGACGCTTGAAATAGGGAACCAAGCAAGGGAGCGAGGCAGCGGCTCGGGGACTCGGGGAGTCCTTCGTCCTGTCGAAAGAGGGGGCAGAGCTCAGTGCTCACTGCTGGAAAACAATTGGCATGAATGAACTGGTTCCTGGGAAAGTTCCTCATGGCGGTGCGAAGAGTACCACGTACAGATTGGTCCTTTGCTTCCTTGGTCCGGGATAGGTCGGGGGGATATCTGGAGAGCTTCAGTAGGAGGGGCATTCCCGTGGCAGGAATGGCAACATGTCGCATCCCAACCATCCCTAGGCTTGATACCAACGTGAGGAGAACTGAACGGGTGAGGTAAGAATTTGGGCCCTCCTGAGATTACTCTGCGTGAGACGAGTGTACGATGGGATGTACATCAAAGCTCTGAAGGCACCTCACTGTCTCGAGATGGGCTCAAGGTGTTACCCGCTTCCCTCTCATGATCGAGTGAGGAGCGGAGCCGTTTGTACATCCGTCGTACATGTTCTTCTGAGAGGGGAGGATCTGGTTCGAAAGGGGGCTAAGGACCGGGGCCAGTGGGCGGGCAGGAGGAGGGGGCGGCTTGGGGGGCACCACCAACAACAGCATCAGAATCCCCCTCGAGTCTCCTTCTGCCTCTCTTCCTTCGTCCGTCCATCCATCCTACAATTGCCATTTTTTGGTCGCCAACCAAACGAATGACCGGGTCATGAACATCTCGCAACTGTCGTGAGTAAAGGAGGGAGAGGTACAAAGAGGAAAAAGCCCCCGTTGCTCCATCACCTTTTGCCCCTTTTCAAGTATCAATCTTCTTCTGAGTGCAGGTCTCATGGTCTGATTTTCCCCAGATCTCAAAAGCTTTACCACTCTTCTCTTTTGTCAGTCGTGGGTTAAATGGCGAGATCGTAAAGCTGCCTGCCGAGCTGCATGCCGGATCGCCGATGGATAAAATTTGTTTCTTCTTTTCCTTCGCTTTCTTTCTCTCTCCCTCTCTCTCTTCTCTGGCGTTTGGATTCTTCTGACACGCTCGCAACTGAATTCCGTTCCCCATGGCCATAAAAAAGAAGCATCTGTGGCTTTAAGACCTTTGGTTCAAGAACGGACCCTCCCTCCCACAATCTCCCCTCTTCAAGTGGGCAAGACTCTGTCTGTCTGTCTGTCTGCCTGCCTGCCTGCGAACAGTAAATGTACTGCACGTACTTCGCCTGTCTGCGAAAGTGTAAAAATCAAGCAACTTACCCGCACAAACTCAAGCCAATGAATCCAAAGCCCGGTAACAACAAAGAACTGTCAGTATTGCCTTCTTCCTCTTCCTTCTTTCTCTGCCGACTTTTACTCCTTCTCCTTCGCCTGCCTTCCTTCCTTCCTTCCTTCATTCTATTCTTCTTCCAAGGCAAGGGGATCTGTCACCGCAAGCTTCTGGCAATCAATACACTGGTGGTCAAAGTGAAGCGAGCGAGCGGGCGGGCGGGCGAGAGAGCAGAGACGGAGCAGAGTGCGGAAAGAGTGGGAGTCTGCGGTCGCCGTGCCTGAGCGCCTTCTTTGCTCTCGCCCTCGATCTGACTCACTCGCAAGACACGACGACGATGGTGATATTTGCTGCCGTTCCCGATGGAGGCGAGCGGCCAAGCCGAGCGACGATGGCCGACGAAGGCCGAGGCGCGGATGAGCAAAGCATCCGCTGGGAAGATTCCATCTTGAATTGAATGAATCTATCTCCACCTTTGTCCAATCTACGGAGATTTTCGTTCTCCCGGGTCAAAGTTTCTGACATTGACTTTTCTGGGTCCCGCAGTGCCGCACCCTACGATCGTTTCATTTATGGTTACCACTCTTCCTAGTCTAGTCTACGCGCCTCTCTTCCCCCTCGTCGCCTACACGCACCCTACTTCTCTTCCACTACCACGACCCCAGAGCCCGTCCCCCTCCCACCACTACGCACCCCCTCGCCTACTCTACTACTAGATCTTGACAGCTAGTCTAGTCTAGACACTAGCGCTACCCGCCTACGCTGTCTGCTCATGACTCCGTTCCTCCTTTTGATCCAGTGCCCCCTCTGAATTCATTCCTGTCACTGTACTGCGACCAGCACTACTCGTAGCCCTATGAGGTCGTGTACATGTATGTACGAGAGAGTGAGAGTGAGAGAGTGAGTGAGAGAGAGAGGCGGCCTGCCCGGCTCGTTTGACTCCTAGTGGAAAGAAGCGAGGTCAAGTCAAGGGGGTGACTCCCGCGCCAGGGGGGATGTGAGTGTGGCTTGTTTTGCTTCGCCAAGGGCGAAACGGAGGGGGCGGGGTGTGAGCGCGGTTCGGGTTTGGGTTCGGAGACGGGACGGGGTGAAAGAGAGAGAGGGGAGAGGGGAAACCGCTCTGTATGCAAGCACACAATTGATCATGGTGGGGAGCCAAACCAGGGAGGGGAGGGCGTTGGCTTTAATAAATTCACGGGGGGGGCAAGTGGTATCAAGTGATCTTCCCGTGACAAAGCCCATGACAACGGCAGCTATATTAAGACAGGAGCCAATTATAGACGAGACCACTTGAAAGAGGTCGTCTACCAAAACATTCCATTCAATTTGTCGTGGAAAGGGAAAACACACGAGCGAGTGACTGCTCCACGGCCTAGCCTGCCTGTTTGCCGATTCCCTCCACCTCCTGCTCCTTTGCTGCTGCAGCAGCGTGCAGTGCAGTGCAGTAACGAAATGGCATGGGACGAGAGACGACGAGAATAGTGCACTACAAACTTCCAGACTCCAGACTCCAGACTCCACAGACTTGGGGTGGAGTTAGCAGTTAGCGGGTTGGGTTGGGATTTGCTCGGTCGAGCTGAAGGCCTGGAATCAGACGACGCCGCAGACCTTTCATGATCTGTTTTTCGACTATGCATTGCATCCATCCTCATCATCCGCACAGCAGCAGCAGGAGAAGCATCTCGCAGCCTCCCCGCCCTGAATGCCTGAATGCGATGGTGCAAGTCAAGCAGCAGCCCCCACTATTTTGGAAAAGGACCGCCTCCAGCTGACCATGGGTCTACGTTAGCTTGTCAAACGTACACAATAGTGGTCTTCCAAAGCCTTCCAAAGCCTGAGGGCTTGCTCGGGCTGCTGCTGGTCCCGCATAGGCTTCTCCAAACGAGCTGTTGCTCGAATCTCGACTTACCGTATTGCATCCGGGGAAGAAAGAAATATTCAAAGGTTTGATCTGAGACTTGCTAATTATGACAATGTTCGTGGACACTTCTTATTACTTGAGTGTTTGTGTGAGAGAGCGAGCGAGGGGTCAAAGCTCGAGAGCCAATCAATGTCAGTGGCCTTGGCTTGTCATTTTGGCTTTATTTGGCTTAAGTCAAATTTTATCTTAATCTGGAGAACAAGTGACCTCATCTTTATGAAGCCCCACATAATCGAATCTATTGCAAGTCAAATCTCTTTTGGTACTGCGAAGGAAAAAATATGAGTTGACACGAAAAAGTGAGCAGCAAACAAAAGTGACATTGGAGTTCATGCATTGAAGCTGGAGTGCACAAAAAGGAATACAGATTTCCATGCACGGGCGCCTGAAGCTGCTGCTGCTGCTGCTCCTCCACGCTGCCGAGAAGGCTCAAACTGTCCCCATGTGGTAGCATGGAGACTACCCCACGTACAGCCGAACTCCAAACGACATGCATCTGCAGCGGCAAAAAACTCGAGAAAATGGGGGATATTTCTCCCTCGACCGCGGATGAATTATTGGATTCTCCTCGGCTTCCTCATCGAGAATTGAGCTCCGATGTTTGGCAGGGAGCATGCGTGTACACGGATCCTTCCCATTGGATGCAGCCTCGAGTGTTATGCGTCCGATGTTTCATGTTTAGGTGGTGGAGGCGGGGGTGGTGGTAGTGCTGGTGCTTCTTACGAGATCAACCCCCGTCCCCTTTCATTTCGTCAGGGGGTCGGGCCGGTCGGTCTGCGAGTTATTCATTAGCCATAAGGAGACTCGGCCTTCTTCCACGACTGGAAACCACTTTAGGTCTGCATCTCCCGGGAGCGGATTTATGAATTGCACTCCCATCTGTGGCCTACGGACGTGGCATGAAATTACTGACCACGAGTCCACAAACCTTCGATCGCCCCTCGCCCCTCGCCCCTCGCCCCTCTTCACTTTTGAGCGCCCCAAGGCCGTCACGACCATTGCTCGTGTCTATTTTTGTAATCCGTTGTCGCTGGACATTGAATCTTACAGTTACTCGGTCTACTACATTGAACGAGTTCTAGAGAAGGAGAGGAAGTAGAAGAAGGAAGAAGCAACAGAAGGAGAAGCCAGCCAACCAGTCCAACCACGGACTGACCACTCCAGACCGACTTGTGCGGAAGTGCATTGCTGCGCTGCCTTCTCTTGGCCTGCCTTGCCCTGCCTTAACCTGCCATGACCTGACCCGAGTCCCCAGCTCAGCCCCGAGGACCCTGACCTGACCTGACCTGCCATGGCAGTAGGGAGGAAATGGTTATTAGGTCTAAAGTCCAAACGAAGGGCTTTAGGTTTGATTCTCCACCAACAGAAAACTACCTCGCTATATCTGGAACCTGGCAAAATTCGCAGCAACATGTGACTCTTCATTGCTCCCTGGCAGTCCTTGCAGCAATGATGCGCTCTGGTGTCTATTTATCTCTATCCATCTCACCGGTGCGCATCGAAGCGCTCGGGTGCTTGCCTGCCTGCCTGCTTGCTTGCTTTTGCTTTTGGAAGGAACGATTCATCGTTCCTTCGGACCTAAGGGTCGGTCGTATGACAAGTCTATGACGAGAGAGCGAGGGAGCGAGAGTGTAGTGCAGTGTAGTGCAGTTCATGCACTCATGCTCCATAATTATGTAGGGGCCACTGCTTCCCGTGGACCTTGCAGGACTGAACCCTCTTTCTGGTCCGGCAATCTAAGCTCCATCTGCGAACTCATCCCCACCATGTATTCCATAACAGACAACAGTCAACTGCCAGTTTCTGCGTCCCTTGCCATGACCCGCACACTAACGATCCATTGCCATCATTTGCATTCTTCCTGCACGGTCTCCTACTACTTATAAGGTGTGTGCTGAGTGCTCCTTTTGGAGAAACTCGTTCAACGAGATGTCTGAGACCAACATGACAAAATTTACTCAACTACTTCTAACTTTGTCCGAGGTGGAGGAGGTGGTGAATACGGCCCAGCCCGGCCCCCCTGCCCCGCCCTCGGGGGTACACTGAACGCGTGGATTGTCATTCGTAACTGAGCAGATAGATTTATCATTTTGGAATTATCTGCAAGCCAAACCAACCACTCGCTCGCCCGCCTGCCTTCGCTCCAGATACTCCAAAGCGTAAGCCACCGGAAGCAAAAGAGCAAGAAAGAAAGAGGAGGAAGCAGCAGCAGAAGCAGGCGCAGGCACGGGCGCAGATTTGTTCGCGAATTGCAAGCTCTCTTGTGACTTCAGCAAATGCATGCAACATACGAGCCCGGCCCGCCTCGGGGCCTACCTCTCCTGCCAATTCACTGTCTCGCTCGCCCGAACGTTTGCCGTTCTCGCATCACGCCGAGCTGATCACTTGGAATCATCATGAGCCACTCACAAGCTGCCTACGAAAGTCCCAAACTGCAGACATCATCATTTTGTTTTGGCAGCGTGTAATAATTTTGCGTGCAGCCCTAAATCTTATCTTCCCGGCTCAGGCACCATCTGCTGTTGTTTTTTCCCTTGTTCTTACTCTTGTTCATGCCTCTCTGCTCCGCTCACGCTCCAACTTCCACCACCGTAATGTAGCCAGATTTTATCATTCACGGTCGCTGTGCCTGTCGGAGGGTGGAGTGAGTAGGATTCAATTGCACGCAGATTCCAGCGACTCCCCTCCCACTGGCTCAAAGCTTGGCCTAGACCTTGGCTGCAGTTACCCTGGCAACACGATGCTTGCTACTCGCGAGCCTCGAGTTTGTTCTTTACTAGCCCCTCTCTGTATTGGCCGGGGAACCAGTGTTTCAACGTGAAGTTTTAGCCAATCGAAGGTTTGTAAAGTCACACCTAAGTTCATCTCTTCAGAATTGTTCCATTGCTTCACCAGGTCACTTGCGTTGTCAGTAATCACGATTGACCACCCAAGCTAGCATTCATAAATGCGTTACAAACTATGTAATATTCTGGCACCGGATTGAATGAAATACATTACAATTCTATCCTTGTAGCTTCTGAGAAAATCGGGAAGTTTTAGGAGTGCAGGAAGACTCAGAAATTTTTATGGCTTCCGTCATCCAAACCTAAATAACGTTCATTTCTGGCCATACACAGCTGAATCGAGAACTGGTGGTTTTGAGGTTAAAATGCAGTGATAAATAATTGCTTTGTGTGTTTCTTCATACAATATTGTGCTTTGATTTCTAGAGCAGGTTTCTTCTGTTCATTTGTACCAACAAATGTTGATCAATGGCTCGAGACAAAAAGAATTGTTTCTACCAAGCTAGAGGAAGGGGCCTTTAGCAAGCATAAAATGAACAGAGCTTGTGTTCTCAAGGTTCATGTAAAAGTTACCCAAAATTTCAGATGTCATATGAAGGAGATACACCTATACGAACTTCAAGATTTAAGCTATCGTTCAATGACGATCCACGCCGGGTCCAGAAAAGAGTTCACAAGTTTGGAGATCCCAGAAAATTGGAGGTGATATATATAACAATTCCTATTATACAGATGAGTGCTGAAAGTGACCAACAAGCGGATTACTGCCGTGAAATTTGAAGCCTTCGAAGATCACGTACTTCTGGAAGGCGAAGGTGGTCAACACGGAGGGGGCTCGGATCATAAGGCCGGACGGATCTCCTTCATAGACTCTGGCGAAGATATATGGAGAGAAGAAAAATGGAGAAGATTAAGTGAGCTCGATTCATGGATCGTGTTGCTTGTAAGACGAAGGCAAGTATCCAGGGCTCAGACCAAAACCAAGGCGCCTGAATCAGTCAGGCTTGAAAAACTAAGAATCGAAATATGAACTGAGTACTCGATTGCACTTGCATTATTCGTTGTCCTCAGTCGTATGGTGTCTACGCGCCGCGATCATGATTGCCTCGATTCGATCACACGACGACGCTATGACCGCTCGCTCGAAGTTTAGCCAGGGCCGAAGCTGATACCGGTCGCGCCAGAAGATTTGGATTAAATGTCACTCGAGTAAGGTCATGTGTCAACGGATGTCGTGGAATTTAGCACGGCGATTGTGCCACGGTTCGGGATTCATGTGTTGACGTGAGCTCGTGGGCCCACAGCACACGCAGCGGTGAGCGAGCGTGGGAACGTTAATGAGGCGAAGAGTCAAGAAGAAGTCTGCTCTCGGGGCATTATCACGAGTGGAAACACGGGCCGGACTGCATCTCGCGAAGTCGCGATGTGCCAAGAAGATGTCAGAAGCGGAAGCAGCGACCATACGCGCGTAGCGGTAGCCCGGCTCGCGGGCCGGCTGGCCGGCGGGGCGGTCGTTGGGCTTGCGGAGCACACCTGCAAATATCATGCGACTGTTGATCGAGATCCGTGCAGCCAAACGAGCACCGAGGGGCGTTACGGAGGATGACATAAGGCCCGTCGAAAACCATGTCGACCCGGTCAAGAGAAAGCGAGAGAATAAAGAGGAGGCCATGGCAAAAGCGGAGCGAGAGGCCAACAGACATCAGGATTCAGGGGGGGGCTCAGGGGGCTCGTCGAATACGCTCTGGGGCTGGCTGTCGAGCGGCAGCAGGAAAGCGCTGGGCGGGGATGGGGAAATATACTTCTGTTCTTTAATGGAATGTGTGACCAGACCGCGGGAAAGCGGACCCGGCGCAAACCTGCAACCGCTTCTGCGACCGGTCCTCTCATATACCTCGCGTGTCAGGAATATGCCCCATCCACGTCGTCCGGCCGTTTCTCCGACGTCGGAGCCCATCCGACGGCTGGCCGGGCCGATGCCGATGCCGGGCTGTGCAACCGACGCTGTGCCTAGGGGCGGACCACGTAAATATCTCGAGCATTGATGCGCAGGCCCGTTCAAATCATTGCATGGAATGTCAACCCGTAGATGCTAAAAGCAAAGCGACGAGACGCGAGCACGGCAGAGCATGGCAAAGCCGAGCCGAGCTGAGCATACGCGAGCGGAGTCCAGCGGATTAGAGATGAGCTCGTTGTGGTTGCTGCCGGGTGCTAGTTCGCTCGCTCGCTGGGGCTGGGGCGGGGTTGCAGCGAAGCAGATAATATCTACTTTTGCATCTGAACCATTTGTTCACCAACATTGTCGGAATTCTTAAGGGAGGAAATTTGGGGTTTAATGAAAATATCCAGCGAATTGATTACAAAGGTTTTACTCTAGCTTGCTTTTGGGATAACCTAGAACAGAAAAATCTTGTCATCCAATGCCGGGACGACCAGCAATTTGACCAACTAAAAAGCCTCGGTCTGAGTTGTCACGCCCATACAGCCTAATAATCTATCCGCAAAGTCGACCTCCGAGACGTCTTTCTAGTCGTGAAAAATAATCATAACAACTATACCGAGAAAAACTAACTAGTATCATAATTGGCAGTGGGGCCTCCCATCGCTAAAAGCCACCATGTGTATGACGCTCGAGGCCTTTGAGTATGCTCGACTGCAAGCGGCATAGCTCGCTTCCGTAGGGGCTGGCTGTGTTGGCTCGGTGCTGGTCGTGCTTACCTCTTCCCTCTCCTTGAGGTACGATCACAAAATTCCATTCCCAATTTTCTAACCGGAAAGGGCGACGTCATGTTTGCCCATTGTCAACGCTGAGCTAAGACCAGGAGTTTCCCTCTCCATGAGAATAGAATAATCGCCACCGTGGGTAAACACATGTGGTGGTGGCATGGGTTTCGTTCCGAAAACACGTGGTGCTGGCATGGTTTCTCTCTCGTATATTGAAATGATTGCCACACATGTGGGTGCTCTTTCTTCTCACGTAGACTACCTACTCCTCCTCGAGTCCCCGACCTCAATCAGCTCCCGGGGGCCCCCCACTCGCTCACTCCCGCACTCCCTCGCTCCTAGTCTTCAAGTCCTACGGCTGTATCGTGCTCATGGAAAGTTCAGATCCCATTCGTGCCTCCCCCGACCCCAACCCTCACCAGCACCTGATTACGCAAGCCCCGCAGCTCTTTAGGTTCTTTCCCAGGATCATGACCGCTTTAACCATCTGTAGAGAATCAGCTCGACAAAAGTTTGTGTTCCATGGTTCAACTTTGTTGGACAGGCTGAGATCAGCTCGAACATCAGAAGTTTCGACTTCTGTACATATTTCTGGGGTTGGATTTGCAGATAGATGCTCTGGGCAGAACAGGTCAAAATGCAATGATGTTCGCACTTGATGTTAAGTCCATGCCGGTACATCCTCTCGATCACCTGCTGCTGCTGCTGCAGCAGCAGCAGCTGCGCTGAATCGTAGTCGCCTGGGTCGGTCGGTCGCTCGTCGTCATTCAACGGCTGACGAGGAGACGTGCTCACGAAGTGAGCCGGTGCCTGACACATTCACTCACTCGCTCCTCACACTCCTCTCAGACCCACTCCTCGTCGCCTTGCGAAGTGAAGGTCTCGCCCTTTCGCAAACCACCTCACCTCATTGGGTCATGAAACGTTGTGCGCTGTATGCGCACAACGTTTCCGAGTCGTGCTTCGCGGGTGTGAGCTCCACGCTTTCAGCGGCGTCTTTTTATTCCTGCACTCTCATTACCGGACAAAAAGCACCACTCGTTCATAAAGTCCACTTCGAGATATTCTGTGACATGACGCCTCACATCGCCCATGGTTGTTCGGCCGGCCTGCCACCGCAACGTATGGCAACACTAGACAGGACCGGACCTCGTGCAGGCTCAGAACTTTCTCTCTGAGCGCTAAACGCATGTCCGCTCGATCGGACGAGTGCTATATATGGCTCGTGATCTCGCAGCTGGGTAGTGCTTTTCTGCTTCATACTACTCGAATATTCACTGATCTTTCCAGGTTGAGGCCTGATACTCCAAAAGCTGCCCTTCAGCTACATAGATTTTTACTTGATTGCGTAGGAGTGAGGTTCCTTTCCTTTTCACCCAGAAGTCAAGGTTAGAAAAGCCTGATGGCTGCATGATTGACCTGCGATTGATGCATGTCTTAAATACAATTAGAAACGAAATCCGAGTGATTTGAACACCGAAGAAGCACAGAGAGCAGAGTACTTCCAGTTTGGTGACACGTAAATTTCAGCTTTACTGACTGAAAGGTACAAAAGTTTCCCACTCCGGACACTGGATATTTTCTCAAAATCAGATTTGACCTGATTTTGTCCCTGTGGTGACAGGAATTAAAAAGGTATTTATTTACAAACTGATAAGTATGTAGTCTTGATGGACTAAAAATCCTCATCACCCGTTGTCACGGCTAACAGCTACTTCACTCCCTCCATATAACTGTTATGGGGATTCACTGGGATCGTTCCCTGATAGATTACAGTTACATGCACTTAGGTCTAAACAGCGCCATCCCCAGTGCAGACACGATACCAAAACGTATAAAGTTGATAAGCTCACCAAAAACTCACCGGTGGTTTGTAGTGAAACAGAAAACATAGTACTCTCGTTAGTCTGACAAAATCTGTCCGATAATAAAACTCGTAATTTAAACCTGGGTTAAGCTAAAACGAAGTGACATGATTGGAAGCGACTACTTACCAATCAGTAGATGACGTTCCCGCGCTTTGGCAACTGTATTCCGGCTCTCGTAATCAACTTCATGGCAGCATTTTTGGCATTAGCCATGACGAGAGCCTGTAATTACGACTCCATTAATGATGAAAGTACCACATAGGAAGTTCCATCAGATTGACATGCACACTGAACTGTGGTTATTAAATGTAAGAAATATGTTCCACACGAAGTCAAACAAAACCTACGAACTCATATCTGTAAGGCTAACTATGAAAATCACATCTGAAGACCAGTCGTGCAACCATGCATCAAGTTTCGTCGGACTCTATCAGGACCTTGAGTTAAAAACAAAAAGTAAATCAATATAAATACAAAGAATTGATTACTTAATAACTGCCAAAAAATCTTGAGGCAGAGAACGATTGTCTATTATTTTTTGTTCATTGTTAGTCTAGATCATAATTCGCTGAACCTATTGAATTTAACCACTCACATTCATGGACCCACGCATCCTATGAAGAGTTGTATAAGAAACAAGGTATTGTTCTCTATTAGATACAGTTAAAGTGCTTTCACAGATTGGAAAAGATTTAAAATAAACAACACTAAATGGAATAGCCTGCTTCTATTTTTGTTGCGGAGTATCTTATTTCTTTTGGAATCTCAATGTTACTTCTTGTACGAACGAAGCCACAGATAGATTGACTTCTAATGAACTCAGTTCTTACACAACAGCAAAGATAGGGAAAGCGAAGTTCATAAGGTTACTCCTAGTGTCAGTTGACTTATGACAGTGGTCCAGAATTGGGTAAGTGCAGGTTGTGTCTTAGTTTTAGTTTGTGTGGGTATTTGACAACAGCCCAATTGCATCATAAATCTATACCTATCTGAACCGGCTATCGTTCGTTACCTCACTTAGAATTATTGAAAATCATGTATTGCTGCACACTGGAACCAAAAGGACTATACTAACTAATAACCGGTTCCTTCGGAGAAGATGATGATGCACTACATAGCTTTACAAACCACTCCCAATACTAGATGTTGTAAAACAGATATCACTGCTCATCCTTCTAGTGAGGGTTCTTGCTGTTTAGAGAACAGTTGTCCATATACCATATCCAAGAACAGTTCTCAGCGGTATTTGCTTGTCATAACCTGAGGACTACATTGGGGTAGACAGTGAAAAAAAAATAACCATATTCCAATTGTCTTGAATTTTACAGATTTAAAAAATAAAAAAAAATAAAAAATAAACTTGAAAATGGATCACATCTCACGGTTGGTGGGGAGGCCTCAAATTTTCTGAAGATGCCAGATCTATATACTTCACAAACGCATAAATGAAGTGATCAGATATATATTGTGGGCCTCCAGAATTCATTAACCTAACCTAATTGAACCCTATTATGCACAACAATATGCAAAAATATGAGTGTTTTCTACTCGAGCATAAGGTATTGACTTACCTCGTCAACTGTTAAAATCTTCTGATCGCGCATGATCCAGTTTCCGTTGCACATAACAGAGGAGATATTTTCTGTTCTCATGCAATAAACCATGCTCGAAATCCTGTACAATCAATGAAAGGAGAATTCAACTTCTGGCCGAGAGGAGTATTCGAGAGGAGTACTTCTTCAAAGGTGCTTACACAAATTTTCTTCTTATGAAAGGTGACACCTTTTATTAGAACACTTACTGCGCCTTTCAAGACTAGGGGAACTGTTTTGTGTGAGAATGATGTAGAGGACTGACAAGTTCAGTGATGAAAGTCTTCCGACAAATTTTATCTGATGTTTGAGATGTGCTCGATGTTTTCGTTTGGATAGTATCTTACGGATCATGGAGGGGTATCATTGTCCACTTGTCTGGATTTACTACAATCAGATCAGCCTACAAGAACACATCAAGTTTAAACCGGATCAGCTTACCATTACAACTCACACCCATAAATAGTAACTCTTACACGAACAGAACCCTCCAGGTAAAGATGTAATCATATCACATCATTGGTTCTACCTTACTTTCTATTTGGAAACAATCATATCTATATCTTCACAAGTAAACAAGGAACTCTCGTTCGACACTTTCATACTATCTATTGGTTTTGTAGATCAGGTTAACCTTTTTTCCAACTTCCAGGGATCCAATCGACTGACCCTGAAGAACAGATTTAGCACCATTGATGGTTGCCATTTTCAAAATAGTCTCCGCTGGCAAGGCAGTTGGATCTGTTGTGCCCCGTTCAAATACAACTCGTCCCTTGTTGATCAATGATGCCAAGTACATCTCATCCACTGAAAATGTGCAAAAGTTAGTATCGGTAGACAACATGTTTGCAGCTAAATATCTGTTGTGATAATAAATTTTTGACCAAGGCACAAATGATTTTCAATTTCAGTACTCACTACGTTAATGATTGATAGATATCATCAAATTTTTTGGGCAAAGTAACCAAACCCAAACGACACAAAGAAGTATGTCTTAAGTATACAAAAATTCGAGGAATGGTTTCTATAATACACGGAACAAGATGGAAAATGTACTCTACCTAAGCTCATGCGATTATTCGATGGGGCCCCATCAGTACCCAATGATACACAGATGCCTGCCGACAACATTTCTGCAACCGGGGCAAAGCCCAGCATGCGCATGGCTGCTGCTGGACAATGTGATACTTTGACTCTGGCCTGTGCCATCATCTCCACCTGTTGATACAATGAAAATTTTCCATACCTTCAACGGACTATCCACCATTTTTCTCAGAACTCTCGCTCAATGCTTCATATTCTTCGATAATGTTCTGTACTGAGACATAAGATCACCCATAGCTTCCTTGACAGTCCCATTATGTGAGATCAGTCTGTTCAGGCACATGATCAAACTCCTCATTTAGCATCTCATAAAATGAGGAATTTTGATATTCAGTGTTGAATTGAACAGCTAATACTCGCAAGCATTGACAGCAGAGAACAGGGATATGAAGAACTTTTCAAATGCTACGACGCAAACATGTGGATACAATGCAAATAGTTTAACGATTTTTTTTTCAGCTGAGATGATACATACAGAAAGTTTACAATCGAGACAATACACACATATATCATACAGAATTCAATAGAAGTGCTTATATCAATGAGCGTACCTCAGAGGCATCGACCCATACAGAGTGAGCAGCGAGAAGATTATGGTCAAGAAGACCAATCTTATTCAAGTAACTGACAGTGCCGTGTTCCACACCTCTTGATTCCATGACCCACTCATTTTCAAAAGGTATTTCAGCAACATGCTGCAAAGACAGCAAGAGATTATATTACATCACGTTACGAGATTAAGTGCACAAGTCTCGAAGTCCAAATGTTTAATTGACACCTCACACCATACTCCTTTGACAACTGTACTTCTGGAATGAAAACTGTCATACTCAACCAAAACCACGTGAATCATATTCACGATGAAGAGGTACATAGGCAACGACTTCAACTGATATGAAGACCAAGCCAAGGCTCACGAGAGCAGTAGAGCCATGGGAACCAGACATACATTTTGGATGATGGATTATAAAAATAGATATGCCCTAGTAAATTTCTGTTGATATCTATAAGAACCTGTTTCCTTTTTATGCGAGAACAAAAGAATAAAATGTGTGATTAGATTTAACTAGGAAGTAACTGACTTTACAACAATCAAGTTGGACAATTACCATATGTATGCCTGTATTGCATTTAGCTGCTGCCTCCTTTGTTCGAAGCAGAAGATCATCAGTTGCATTGAGAATCTGTCTCAATCCGAACCAAATTCTAATGCGATCATCTGCGCTTGCGTTGAATCTTGTGAAGAGATCCTCTTGGATCTTTCATTTTTTTGGACAAGTTTCAAGGTCAAAAACCACATTTCAACTCCATCAGTTGCCCTGTTCCTCAGCTGCTTCCAAAGACTATAAGAGGTACGTATACTGCATTGAAAGACCACGCCTGCCACACTTTAACCAGACAAGATGCTATATCTCAAGGCATCCAGATAACACTACCACGAGGTAAGAAGGCTGAAAAAAACACTTATACGTTGTAAAGAAGTATGCAATCTGCAAAAAGTTCCTGAATTCTCAATACTGAAACTTTCTATCATCTCGTACTGGGTCCACGAGTCAGACAATCCCAGTTGGATTCCGAAGAAGATTGAACGGGTGGAGTTTAAAGCTCAATGAGTCTAAAAAGGCCATGGACTCTACCCTGAACATGTCTTGAATGTAATTTTAGGGATGAAATCTGTTTTTTGAATGGATAGTTGCTGAGGAGTTTCTCTGATACAAAAGCTATTCCATAAGCCAATCGAGTCTTTTACCAAAGATGTCACATTCAATGTCAAGCCTTAGAGATTGTCATGTCAAAAAGTTTAAAATATAGGAGTTACTGGAAAACAGCGAACCTTCATGCAAGTGTCTGTGCTCTCTGATGCCCACAGCGCCGGTAAGCCTACACCCGAGTCCATAGTGGATCTTGTAAGACAAGCCCGAATGCCTAGTTCGTCCACTGCCTTAACCATCCCTGAAACATGTTGGCCACCTGCTTCGGCAAAGCATGTCACCTGTTCATCATGTTGGAACAGATTCAATAAAAATCAGACAATTACAATTTCAGATGCATGGAAGAGACTGATGAATTATGTATCACCTGATGACTGAATATGTAAGACTTTCAAAGAGTGAAAGCAAGCATAAAGCATTCATAAGCATTGGCCTGTCATATTCTGAAAACCAAAGACCCCGCCAACTGGCTGAGCGGTTCTAGTAGTAAAAGACTGAGAAGCAGGGGAATTAATGTATGTGTAGAGAGACGACTGTGTGAAAATGAAGACTATCTGAAAATCGAAACTAATTCACCCTATGAACGAGGTTCTTTCGGAGCTCTCAGAAGTCAGCCAACAAAACCCTTCACTGACTTGTAAAACCGTAAAGCGTGTTCGCCCCTAAAGTTTTCGGCTGAGATAAATACTTCAATATATCCTGCAACCGGCTTAACCAAGACCAAATAAGTCTCGCTAGCGTTTTGCGAGTCTTACATATCTTATCATGCATGATATGCATTAGGTGGCATATCATGCAACTATATCCTGCACTTCAGACTGGCAAAATCTTTGGAGACTTAAGGTGAGTCACTCTCCACGGGGCGTTGGTGTGATGCTGATACTCTAGTAAGGAGGGCTCGCAGATTCGGCAAAACAGTTCCAGGTTTCAGTTCAAAGTATGACACCTCTATTTGTTGCGTTTCTGTAACTAGATGCAATAAATCAAGATGTAGGTGTACAGCTTAAAGGTGAGGGTACTTAAAACGGTGATTAATAATAGGTTTTAAATTGTGAGAGACGGCTTACGCCTATTCGGGATCAGACACCAGCTTATTCCAAAGGCCAACTTACATGTAACAGAAACTACAGGGTATATCCAGATTAAAAAATATTGAGGTTGACAACGACGTTACTCCCCCATCCTCAGTGCAGTATGAAAAAAAGAGTTTACAAGACAATGAATATCAGTGATAATGGATAATGGATATCAGTGATATTGGCACATACTCCAGAATGTATCAACTCAATCCCACAAAGTAGAGTAGAAATGTAAGAGTCCTGCTCGCTCATATTCGACTCATAGGGCCAGATCCGATCATGTAGCCATGTGAGGAGGTCGACGTCGTCAGCAATTCCTCGACCGAGTTGTTGTGAGGTATGAACATGTGTGTTAATGAGCCCTGGTCAAAGTCAATTTTCAATTTGTCAATACAGCATGAAATAGATCACACAAGCAAAACCAGAGGAGAATAGTGAAGGCACCCAAAGCATTTGCAAAATTCTCCAGTGGTTCTTCTCCTCTTGTAACCCCATAACAAAAGGTGAAATTCGATACTCGGAAGGACCACCCATCTCAACGTAAGATTGCCCTCTATCTTTCAACCCTCAGTACGCTACAAGTTTCTTGGTTAGACCATATGTTGCAATTGCTTGCCTAGTTTGTATGACCTTTACATTCCAGCGAGCGTCATGATGGTCATCAGAACCTAAAAAAAGCTCATGCTATCTACCTTGAACTACAACTACACGATTCCAGATACTTATCCTGCTCCACCATAGTGAACATAGATGCCCCCAAATTCAGCAAGAGAAAAGGCCCCTCATTCTGTCACCCCGTTCGAATCCAATGGGCATTACAAAAAACATCGTTCAAAAACATGGCCACGAAGTTGACATCCACCCTCGATCCAGGCACTTTCTTAAGCTCGAATGATGGAATTTTCTCTGGTATGACAGACATGATTTCGAAAACCCCCACCATAAAACAAAAAACCCTGCACACCGAACGACCCTTATACAACTACAACATTGACAAACAAACAACGGTTGCAAGTATGTCTAGAGCTAGACCGCATTAAGGAGCAAGGCTCAGGATCTGCAACAGAGTCAAAGGACTGTGGGGACTTATAGGTAATTAATTTTCTTCCCACAGAGCTGAACAGCAGATGAGTACAATGTCCTTCCGCACATTCGTTCCCATTACATGAGAAAACCAGCGAGGCAAAGAGATCAGTACCTGGTAAAATCCAAGAGCCTTCAAAATCTATAATTTCGTCTGCACGAGAGGAGTATTCTGCGAGCACGGAGCTACTGTGTCCGACTGCCACAATCTGATCGCCCTCGATAGCTAGAGCTCCGTTAACATATATCCGCTCTTCCGAATCAACAGTGATTATCCCCGCTCCATGAACCACAGTGAGCTTTTTCCCACCCATGGCTCCACAGCAACAACCAGCAAAGCAGAGCTGAATTCCCAGATTTCCACACGCTAATGAGAGAAACTCCAAACACTGATTAGCACCAGCTCGCAATTACGCAGCTCTGGGTAGAATTACAAGGCGAATAATAGATGAGAAGCGAATGGTGAGTGGAGTAGTTCGAATTCGGACAGATTTTCAGAGGATTGACCACCCGATAGTCAACTTTCCGCACACAACGTCATGGCGACAGCTTCAAGATTCCTGAAGATCTGCTGTTTCCGTCGCTACACTGTTACAGTCAATTACAAAACATCACCGCAGTCAACAGAATGTCAGTGGACGAGTACGCATATCACTGTAAGTCGCTCAACAGCTCAATCCATCTATCCATCAGAACTGCAGCAGAGCATTTTGGTGTTGTGAGAAGAACTCATGTTTGCAATTCGGTCCTGTCCTGTACTATGCTCGTTCCCTTTCTGCTCTTTGACCAGGTTCCATTCTTCAGCTCTAGTCTCTATTCTGGTTCCACTTAGTGGTGCTTCGAACAGAGTTCCCAGCTCTCTCTCCGTTCGTCGTTCTTCGGTCCAATTTATCACATATTAAGCTCCAATATTTTATCCCCTCCAATACAAATACATAAAAGTACATTTGACAAAAAATATTTTGCATGCACATCTGGAACATAATGTGAGCACTTGAACAGATTCTGCTTTCGAAATTCAGAAGGAAAAATCTAATTGAAGTTTAATTTTAGACCCTACACTCGAAATTATGTAATTATGAAAATTTTAAGGTCGTGATTGTCATCTGTATACTTCAAATACCGTCCTGATTTTGTTATTCTTTTCCAACAGTTTACGTTAAATGTACAATACTCATAAATTTTTAAATTATATTTTTTTCTACTTACGTAAAACATTATATGTTAGTTTTCAATAAATTTAAAAGCAGTTTCTTACCAATAGCAATTTTGAACACAAACTAATTACAAGTATTGTAATATATGGTGAATTTTTTTAAAGTGCATGCAATTGAAAATTCAAAATTTTTATCATAGCGAATTATCTGTACTTGATTTGACTATACGCTTAAATAAACATCAGATTGTTCTTTTAATAATGATGCAATACGCTCAAAAACAAACATTATGTACAAAATTTCCCAAATATATTTAAGTCTTCAAAATTCACAATTTCATTCCATCATCGTGGAATAAAAGTGAAAAATGAGTTGAAATTTACATATTGATTTTTTTTGTCATGCTATAAAAACAATATATATAGTAATATTGAGATAACAAAGCAAGAAATCTTTATAGAACTTCAAAAGCTGCAAAATCATTCACTAAAAATCACATTCACATCTCAAAATTAACTCCAGCTCTAATTCTTATGAATTGAAGATAAATCAACACCAACTGTGTTACTAGCTATGATCATTTTACCTATTCTAATATTTTACATATTTACACTAGCCGCGCATAAGTAAGCATTAATTTCTCAAATATATATTATTCAAATTTATTTAGTTAAACATGTCATGTATTGCCATTTGGCACAATATCTGAAGATTGTTGCATTTGGTTTTCAATACTACAGTCTACAACTTACTTTTGATACAATACAAACAATATTCTAAGATCATCAAATGTTGACTCAATTTTCTTTTTAACCTGGTACTTTACAACTAATACTTCATATTAACAACTTGCTTATGAAGTAACATGATTACATAAAATATAAAGGTGTTTCTTATATACAATTGAATATTTGATTTTTCTTTTCACACAAGTTTTTGATAGCTCTTCACACATCATACTTGAGCAATGATTTTATTTTTCTTGTTTAGATACCACATTGATTTGGATTTATTTGGAAATTTATCGGTATGTTTATACAACATCGCAGCCAAATTGAACGATGAAAAATTGATTTATTTAAATTGCGCAACTATTGATTAAGTATGAAAAACATTCCATGTTAATTAACATTGTAGCCCAATCAAGCAATTAAAAAGTGATAAGTCTAAAAAGCATTCTACATTAAGTATCCAAGTTAAGTTGCATATTTAGGCCAAAGAATTTTTTACTTTTATATGATATCTTTCAAGTAAATGTAACAAAGATTTTCCAACATTACCAGCTTGATAAAATTTAATTTCCTTGGTTTAATGTTCTTGACATTTTTTACCAAAACTTTTATGGACGAAATTAAAGTTGAACTTTGCAAAGTGTGAAAATGCAATCGGTGATATCAAAAATTCATCAAATCAAAATCAATTTGATTTCATGTTAAATTTTCTATTATATCATATTGAAAATGTTGCTGAATTGATTTTTTCCATGTAATTAGATTTTTCATGATTAATGTTACAACTTAAAAGTAGTTGTATTTCAGATACATCTGATTTCAAGATCTATTTTTTGAAAAATAGAATACTAATTTTTAGATATTAATTTAGAATAAATATTAACATGCATAGTTTAAAAGTTAGTACAATTAAATTTGAATTGATTTAATTCTTCTAATCTGCGAAATGATGAATCAATGTTTTTCAATTGAAAATAATAAACAAAAATTGAACATAATTATGAGTTGATCATTCAATAAAACTCTCAACATTTATAAACACAAACTCAATGCTTATATTAAAATGAGATGAAGCTATAAAAATCCTTCAAATATCAAATGAAAGTTGGAAGATACAACCTGCTACAAAGTTAACAATAATTTCATGTGATGTATATCAAGTTTTTTTGGTTTTGATCTTTCAATTTGTGATTAGTTGTCATGTTCATTTGTTTCACTGTACTCTAATTAGTTGTTTGTTTGTAACTCAATAAAGAAGAATATTTTTCCAACGGTCACGGACTAACTCAGTTACAATATTTTCTTTACACTATGACTTAAAACGAAGTTCATTGATTGCCTAAACTATATTAATTAGTCTATGCGTCTCAAGATTAGGTTGATATACAAGTACATCTAAGAAGTAATAATTTTGAATTTTGTTCTTTTTAGCACTCTAAACTATTATTGATGTTTTTAACCTTGCAACAAAGAAATGTCTATGATTAAAGAATGTCAAGCAACATACTTTCTTCTATTGTTGAGTTTGAAAACATTCTAATCAAATTGTGGATTTATTTTCCTACCTTTTCATCAATCTAACAAGTCACAATGACCTTTTATATGGACCAAAAAGCTAATTACAATTAAATTACATGCAATTATTATTATTGACGAATATCTTTAAACTATGAAAACATTGTCAAATCTTCATTGTCTTTAAAGGTTAGTAAAATTACAATGCTTTTGTTCTATGTTGATTACTTGCTCGTACTTGGCAACATTCTTATTTGCAAAAATCAAACAATCAATGTTACAAAATGAAAATACTTGATTTGGTCTCTCGTTAGCTATGTGTAGATCTTTACAAGATTTTATGTGGTATAAGATGTTCTTACTACAACAAAAAATAATCAGAAAGTACCTTGATAATTGTAGTATTGATTGCATTATGGTTGAACATGTAGTTCTTCCGGTTGGCCACGTACAAGAAGCTGATACAAGAATTTCTGCAATTGACATTTCTCCTATATTATTATATAGATGAAAAGTTAATATTCTTGTTTCACACAAGTTGTGATATGTTGTATGCAATGAATATGTTTAGTTGATATATGCATTTGCCTCAACAAGCTCAATCTATCACATTTTCATATATGTTAATTTCATTTGCAGCTTAACATACTTTATGATAGTAAGGATATTACCTCTTTGCACGATTTTTCAGACACCTACTACTTAAATTATCAAAGCACAAGACTTTCAACTAGAAATTACTCGTTTACATTTGCTAATGATCTCATATATTGGAGAACTTGGTGGTTGAACTCTTTACACACATAACTTACTAGATTTCATCACATCTGGTTTTAGCCGATGGGATCTCATCAATGGCACAACATCGTCAAGTTCTAAAAAAAAGTTTTTTAACTATATGTTGTGTGTTATAGTGTGAAGGAGTGATTTTCCTATCAAGTTGGCAGCTATAGTGTGGTGACAACGATTAGTCAAATTATTCCTGAACCCTCTTTTTTATTTTAGGAGATTGGGATGTCGTCACTCCAAAGTACGTATTGCTCTTCTCCACAAATAAATCTAGATACTCTGACTTTCGTACCTTCAATAGATCATTGGACAGACATACCGTTACTCAAAAAAGTCTTCAAAAGTGGGAAAGTCATAATAATTTTTCATTAAGTTTGTCTATTGCTATATGTGTTGTCGTCTTTATAATGCATAACAGGTTTTGTTTATCAATATGATGGGGTTGTCTTCAAAATGCATTGTTGTGCATTTTGAATTGGCAAATGAACTTGACTGTTTTGTTTGCAGCAAACAAGTTTTGATTTGTGTTTGATCTTTTAATCAAAAAGTTTGCGTGAGTATTGTTGACGTTAAAGAAACAATCTTGGACTCGCCTGAAAACTGAGAAAATTGAATAATTAAAACATGGATGACGTGTGCCATTGTTGAATTCCTATCGAGTAAAACTAATAGACCTAGTAAGCTATGTGAAGTCCCATCAAGTAATTGTTTCTACATGTTGAGTTTCAAAACATCAACATAAAGTATCTAAGAGTACACATAAGACTTTGCAATATTTAGTTGCCTTAAATTGCTTAATTTTTTATTTTTCTTTTCTCTTTCAAGTTCACTATTTTCCTCACATCAATATGTCACAAGAATATACAATTTATCATCTCATGAAAGATGATGTTATTGGGAGGGCAATCCAGCCCATCATATGAGAAATTTGTTTAATGTTCAAGATCATCATGAATTTGAATAAACAACAAACTGTACAATTCATAATCCATTCACTTCGGGCTTATACTCATGTTATGACATGCAAAACATGAATAATTCGTAACCGTAATCCATCAATCTCATATGATTTTACTTATCAAAGCATTATCCTTGTCATTTGGATGAAGAAGTAGATGTTATCAAGTAAAATATGAGTCAAATCAATATATGCAATGTATGACATGCATACATCATTGGGGAAAAGTGAAATAGATTTTGATAGATGAAGTCAGAATTAAAGTATCAATGAGTGGTAAAAGATGATGGTATAATATAAGCCATGTATCTCTATCTTTTGGATAGTTAAGTTTGCATGCATCTTTTAGTTGTGGGCATTACCATATACTAATATAGTGAAAATGTATACATTGTTGATAGCATAAACTATGTACATCAATATTTTTTCAAAAAAATTTCTTGAGTTGAGAATATCCATCATCATGAAGTCTTTGGGTTGAAGTAATGCTCGATATGTGACAAAAAGTAAAATATTTAAATAATTTGACATCTTTGTATTAACAAAGATGTAAATTTTTTTTCCTGGTATCAATGTTATATGTATCCTATAATATGTATTTTGATATATTTGTTATTAAATTGTAGCAAAAATTATCTATAAAATCATAAAACGTATTACTTTTAACTCATGTATTGTGAAATCACTTATTTTTAAGCCATTAAGTA